GAGTTTTCCTTCAACATTCGGATGTGTGATAAAACTGCTTGAGGTTCATTGTATGCATAACAAAGACAGCTCTGTCATGTTGAATTCCTTTTTTGTCTTTAACTGTAATAATATGGTTACGTAAGTACAAATAAATAAGTACAGTTAGGGAGAAATAAACTAGAACAGTGGCTAAAAATCTTTAAAAGGAGCATCTCTTTTTTTGTCTTTTCATATTATTTATTTTGGGAATGCCAGGTGATTTTAAACATGACCTGTTAATAACCTGCAAACTTACATTCCTACTTACGAACCATTTGCTCACTTGACTCCACCAGATTTTCATATTTATTTTTGAGCAACTATAAGTGAAGCTCTCAATCTGATTCCTCTAATCAAGATACTCACTGAGTTATGTTCTTGTGGATGCTTATCTCTCTCTGCTGTGTTACACTGATCTTTATCCAAACACCTTTTACCTTCAGGTGAGAATGATTTGTGCTGCATTCTTTAAACAAGTCTTACTGCATTATTTAAACAAGTTGTGTTGCATTCTTGAAAGTGTCAGACTTTAAGTCTCAGAACCACATAAACAGATATAACAGTTTTCACTGGCCACTCCCTGTTTATGTCTGTATGCACTTTGGCTGTTTCCATGCCTGTATGTCTGTATATATCTGTATGTTCCACCTTAAATGGTGCAGCAGGTGCTAGCTAACTGTGGCACAATTTAAGGTGGAACAAAAAATTCAAGTGAGAAGCTGGCGAAGAAACTGCCAACAAATCTGCTTCTCTCCATAATTTGATATTTTCTGGTCTGCTGGGAAGAGTTAGCAATGCTTTGCTGCATACACCCTTATTCAGAACCTGCACTTTAACACTTAAAGTCCAGATTTAACCTCCTGCAGCATCTCTTAATCACTCCACAGAGAGCATGCGACATTTTAATAGTCATTTTAAACAGTGTGGATGGTAATACTGTAGACAGTGAAAAGATCTTTTAAAATAGTAGTTAAAGATCACATGGATGGTGGAGCTGCGAGAGACATTGATTCACTCCCTGAAATTAATGTGCACAGATTTTTAAAGCAGCTGCACTTTATTAATAATGAGAAAATATATAGATATTTGTTTGAATCCATTTGAAAATTTGCTTCCTCTTGCTGGTCCTGGATGGTCCTGCATTATCAGGGGATTAGTACTGCTGAACAAGGTCTCTGGGGAACTTCATCACTATCCTACAGTTTTTTAATAACTACTGAATTTACAAACCCAAGAGTATCACTCCCCAGGAGGATCAGGAGAGTCAGAACATTTTCCACTATTAGAAGAAATTTTTCCAGGGACAGTAACAGGAGTCTTCTTCTTGGTTAGATGTAATGTGAAAGTTAATAATAATTTGGTTTATATACACATCAATTAATATTCTGTATGAAAAGAGTATTTAGATTTACACTGTCCAGTTCTGAAATTCTCTCTTATTTCATCTTTACCTACTGCCAAGTGTATTTGACAAAGTGTGGGAAAGTGTCTGCTCATGATCCAAAATATACAAGCTCATAGTTAAGCACAGTGGAGGTAGTGTCAAGGCTTGGCCTTGAATGGCTGCTTCTGAAATGGGCAGCAGAATAAATTCAGAAGCCTTCAGGGACATTCTGTCTGCCAATTTACAGAGAAATGAGACTTTAACCCAATAGAGCATGCATTTCACTTCTTGAAGAGGAGACCGAAGGAGAAGTCCCCCCAAAACAAACAACAACTGAAAGAACCCAAATGTCTTCAGTGTATAACAAAAATAAATTGTATATGTATGTATTGTATGTGTATATCACTGCTGTCAGAACAAAACCTTGTATCTCCATTTTTGACATTTTTCAGTTTTTGAAATAATTTGAAAATGCCTGTTGCCCTTTACATTGTATGAATGGATCAAAATAAATGACCCCAAATGACTTGGAAAAATTCTGCTTCCATTAACTTACATTAAAAGTACAATATGTTTTTTCCTTCTCCTGTAAAGTTACCATTTTGGAGATAGAAGGTTTTGTTCCGACAGCAGCGATATGTATATATGTATTGCATAAAATTGGCTTTGCATTGTCAATAGATTGATGTACAAGACTGTAGGTCTTATATATCAGTAAGACACACACAGTCTTAAGCTTGAAGTTAAAGCTTAGTGATAATCGGCCGGAACAGAAACTACAAATGTAAGTTGGTATGCACGAAAGAGTTCCGCATGATTAAAGACTGTTCTGTTGGTTCTGTTTGTGTAAAATCAGTTCTAAGATAGATACATTGGGAAGCAGAAGCAGGGCTATTTTTGTAATCAAATGCCAAACATGCCATTGTTAGAATTGGTTAGAGTCTAAAAATCAATAACGGAGATGATCTTGGTTAGTGGAGGAATAAAGTGATATTTCCTGATAAAGGGAAACAGCCTCCAGTAGTAGCAGCTAGCTAAGACCTCAGGTGAGTAGAGCTGTCTAAAGACTGACCTGTTGCTGAATTAGTTATTCTGAGCAAATTTTCTCTTTCCCTCTCATCTGATGTCCTTATTCTACTGTCTGTACATCAACTACACGTGAGCTGGGTGTCATGTTTGTACTAAAGCAATTTAAATATTTAAAGAAAAGATTTAGAATCATAACACCAGCACCGAAAAGACCAGAAACCCAGGCATTTTCCAGCATTTTTTACAATTCTTTAATTGATCACTTTGCAGTCTTGACCCCTGATCAATAAACATCTGTAATCTAACATTAACAACTTATTGTTGTTAAATTTACCTGAACATTGTATGTAATGAAAACACAATATGATAATCAGAAATAAGTGGTTGTATTCTGTTCATAATATTCCACTTTTAAATTCAAAACATTATTTACAGCAAGTAAGCAAGCAATATCTACTTCTTAATATGCACTGATTACCTGGCTCAAGAATTAGAATAGAAAAACATGTGGACTAGCCCGAGGTTGCCAATTACTCGTTTGAGACCTCTGTATAAACTGTATAAAACTATTGGTCAATACATGTTCTTAGTTCACATAAATTTATATGGTAATATGGTTTTCCAACATTTATAATCTCATAAAGCCCCATATCGCCATTAACTTTAGCACTGAGAAATTACCCATTCTTTGGCACCTTTTTGCTCTGCTTAAACACAGTAAGGGGGCAAGTCTTTACAAATACTGTTAATTCTACTTCGTGAAAATGGGAAATTCACGGTCACCTGTGAGAGCAAGACCAGGTCAACACCGAGTCCAAATGAATGCAAGACAGAATCAAAACCGAAACTCAAGACCAGGTGTCAATTAGTCTTTAAATGAATGAATCCACCCATTGCCCACTTTGAATGAATCCAACCAATGCCCCCTCTGAATGAATCCACCCATTGCCCACTTTGAATGAATCCAACCAATGCCCCCTCTGAATGAATCCACCCATTGCCCACTTTGAATGAATCCAACCAATGCATGCTCTGAATGAATCCACCCAATGCCCGCTCTGAATGAACCCAACAAATGCCCACTCTGAATGAATCTAACCAATGCCCACTCTGAATGAATCCAACCAATGTCCACTCTGAATGAACCCAACCAATGTCTACTCTGAATTAACCCAACCAATGCCCCCTCTGAATGAACCCAACCAATGCCAACTCTGAATGAACCCAACAAATGCCCACTCTGAATGAATCTAACCAATGCCCACTCTGAATGAACCCAACCAATGTCTACTCTGAATTAACCCAACCAATGTCCACTCTGAATGAATCCGAACAATGTCTACTCTGAATGAATCCAACCAATGTCCACTCTGAAATAACCCAACCAATGCCCGCCCTGAATGAATCCATCCAATGCCCATTCTGAATGAACCCAACCAGTGCCTGTTCTACATGATTGCAATCATTGCCCACTCTAAATGAATGCAACCAATACCTGCTCTGAATAAATAACACCAATTCCTACTCCTATTGTCAGATAACACTCCACTTTACATTACTCATTTTCTACTCACAGTCCAGTGTATTTATTTTTTTCTTATTTTTTTCTTTTGTTGTCCTTTGTAAATTAGTTTCGTAAGTCATTTTACTCTAGCACAGTATCAGCAGCACCATTTTCAACAAAATCATTTTATACTTAATTATTAATCATTTTCTATCTCAGTAGTTTGTAATATTTGTTGTAGTTTATTTTCCAAAATAGCATATGTGCACTTAATATCTGTTTGAGGGGTATAAAGTGCACCTCTCAAACAGATATTAGCAGTGGCATACAGTCAGCACTGTCAGCACACCAGCAGACTGATATATGTGTGCTATGTGGGCATTCCTGTCCTTTTACCTGCACATATCAGCTGCCTCTGTGCAGCACTTTACTGCCAGGTTCAACGCCGTCCAGTCTGATTTTGGAAACCTGCTTCTCAGACTACTGTAAACTCCAACCTTCCTACCAAATATAACTAAACAATGTAGCTCCGACTAGCAATATTAAACTACTAACACTAACTAGCTAGTTCCTACTGTACAAGCCTTGCAACAACACCTAACCCTACTAGGAAAATATTACCAAAATTGGGCAATAGACATCAACATCAAAAAAGCCAATGTTATGAATAGAACAAACAATCAAACAAACAAACAAAAAACAGATTACACACATCAGTATTCCACTTCGGTGTATTCCACTTCGGTATCTTTGGTGGGATAACATTCCAACACACTGTGGAATATAACTACTTAGAACAGTTAACCCATTAAAATCCCAGGCTTATTACTTACTAATGTTCATTATTCAGTAACTACAGGGACTTCAGTGCAAACTGGTGGAGCTATTCTTAGGTTATAGAAGTGTGTAATAAAACTTTGGGTCCACCTTTTAAAAAGAGCAGAGAGAGAACAGAGAGAGGGACGAGCAGGGGTAGCGCAGGGCGTGCTACATTGGTGCCAAAACCCAGGAGGAGGACACCAACACACCGAGGGAGTCTCTGTGGCAGAACAAGAGGCCATCATGACCCTGGTCCATCTGCACCAGGCCGACTGGTGGGAGCTGCAGGCTGTCTTCCTAGATGCTGAAAAGCACTGGAAGCAGCTTGAGGACCAGCAGGTGGCAACCTGTCAGATGGTCAGGAGCCTGCTGGCGAAGCGGCAGCCCTCGGAGTACGTGGGGGCAAGAGCCCCCCTCTCACCACCCCTTAAGCCTCCAGTCCCAGCTCCAAGGAGGGCCAGAGCCCTTCTTCCCCCTCCCCTTCGGGAGCTCAGTTGGGTGATGGGAGAATGTGGTGTGCAAAAGAGGACTGAAGAGCTGAAAAGCTTTAGTGATAAAGGACTGAAAAGCCAACCTTACCCACTGAAAAGTTGCCAGCTTTGATTTGGTTGTTTGGTTTAGTTTTGTCTTAGCTTGGTGAGTGAACATTAAAGAAAACATTCTTCCTGCCTCCAGTATCCTCCTTGAGCCCAAGGGTAGCGAAGGGCGTGCCTCGGTGTTTTTGACATTTTATTTTCTATTTTAATAAATTCTATTTTATAAGTGTTTCACTCTTTTCTTGTTTGTTCCCCCAAATTTTGTTCACAAGACACTCCAATGGTCAATTCTGAATTCCTGCATGTTTGATGTGTAGATGTATAAAGCAAAAACTGCACATTTTACCGGTTGAATAAAAAAAAAATCTTGGGGAGAATAAAACAACCCTACAGTGAACTGGACTGAGCCCCGAATCTTTACACTGGCTTAAGACTGATCTTTAGACTGATTTAAGACTGAGATAACAAACAGTCAGAAGACGAAAATGAAAATTCTGCACGTGTTCAGCTCCTCCCTTTCAGTGCTCCTCCTCTCCTACACAGACTACCTGCTGGAGGAAACTGAACCTCACACTGTCCATCCTCAATCCATCTCCCTGACAGAGAGACACAAGCTCTGATCTAACAGCTTACATTATTAAACTATCTTTCTGAAGACAGTCAGATAAAAGACTACAGTGCTGAACACTGCTACTGCATTCAGTACAGAAATCTATAAACTGAAAGAGACACCTGGACAAGAGAAACCATTAGAAGGAGACCAGCAGCTGATGAAGAAAATGGAATCTAAAAGTTTTGAGTCTTTTCTAGAGAGCAGGAGTCAGAGATCTTCAGCAGGGTCTGAGGTGCTCTGCAGTCTGCACAATGAGAAACTCAAACTCTTCTGTCTGGATGATCAGCAGCCTGTGTGTGTGGTGTGTCATCTGTCAAAGACACATTACAATCACAAATGCTGTCCAATAAATGAAGCTGTGACTGATTTTAAGGTAGGAAAGTTGGTCTAACACCTTTTTGTAATAGTGAGTTCTGAAGTTTCTGAGTACCAGATTTTACTGTTTTGTATGTTGAACAGGTCAGATGAAGTCTGTCGGTGAGTGTGTTTTTCAGAGTTAATGTTACACCATAAGAGTTCATCTGAGATTCATTAGAATGATCAAATTAGAATAACTGTCTGCTGTTATTTTATTCACTATAAAATCAAACTTTCTATCTGAAGTCACTGAAAAGGCTGTTTGGGAGAGACAGCAAAGCTGACATTTTCTTCTGCACAGTTGCACTTCAAGGGACCCTGAAAATTCACATATGCAAAGTATTATACAGTGTGGAGAATGCACTCAGCTGAACTGCTATTTAATTTCAGAATAAACTCAAGTCTGCTTTGGAGCCTCTACAGAAGAACCTGAAAGTCTTAGAGGAAGCTAAACAAGACTATGACCAAACAGCAGCTCACATTAAGGTGAGACATCATCTTGAATTGTGAAACATGTTGCTGAGGTCATGTTTCTGATGAGTGTCCACTTCTCCTCTAGGTGGTAAATGCTTGTAGATCATCTGTTAGAGTTTGTGTTTCCTAATGGTCTCTCATTCCAGACGCAGGCCCAGCACACAGAGAGGCAGATAAAGGAGGAGTTTGAGAAGCTTCACCAGTTTCTAAGAGATGAAGAAGCAGCAAGGATAGCTGCACTGAAGGAGGAAGAGGAGCAGAAGAGTCAGATGATGAGGAGGAAGATTGAGGAGATGAATGGAGAAATATCATCTCTTTCAGACACAATCAGAAACATAGAGAAGGAAATGGAAGCTGAGGACGTTCTGTTCTTACAGGTGAGAATGTTTCTTTCTTTCTTTCTTTCTTTCTTTCTTTCTTTCTGTCACTTACACATAAAAAAACACTGCTTGTTTTTCTCTTTTGATGGAAGTCAGTGTCATTCCTTACCAACACGATTGCATTAAAAAAGAAAAGATAAGTTAAATGTTTTAATGTGGACCACTAGGATCACCATGAAGATCTTTAAAATCACAACAACCCACCATGTGACACTGTCAGCACTGGGTCCTATGTGTGCGTGATGTCAGTAAGGTATTTAAACATCCTTGTCAGAAGGAAAGATGTTGGCTAAAAGTGGCAGATATGAATGTTTTACCAGGGGTGGCAGGGAGTTCTATCAGGGTGGCACATTCACACAACACACAAGTCTGATTAGTACAGATTTATGTAGTGAACTATCCATACAACCCCCTGACCACTGAGCAAACATTTAACAAATGCAAAACATCAGCAACCATATTTTATCTTTTCTCATGTACTGTGTGTAAAATATCCTGTGACAGAGAAGGATAAGTGGTTGTGTGTGTGTGTGTGTGTCTGTGTGTGTGTGTGTGTGTGTGTGTGTGTGTGTGTGTGTGTTTCAAGCATGTCTAATAGGTCAGAAGTAATAGTTTGTAATATTAATTCATCTTTACTTCAGGTGTATTATACAGACTCAGCTAAATCTTATTACTTACCCTCTGATTTGGTGATTTAGGCTATCAAAATATCCTGTCTACAGTTCTACTGCTGGTAGCATTTTCTGATAAGGTGATTTAGGCTATCAAAATATCCTATCTTCAGTTTTCCTGCTGGTAGGGTTTTCTGATACGGTGATTTAGGCTATCAAAATATCTTACCTGTACCGCCTCAGCGGGCATGATGAAAATGTTTATGTATTGTTTATATCTTACCTTTGATGCCTTTATGTGTAGAAGTTGACATTAGCTTTGATATTTTGACATAGCCATTTTAGCATTTGTAGTAAATGAGAATTGTAAGTACCAAAATCACACAGCAAAGACTTTAAACACAAGCCAATGTTTTGTAAATTTGTCTTTGGTTTTGGAAATGGGTAGAAAATGACATACTCTACTCTGTTGCAGTCTCATTTTTAAAAGGCACATCTTTTGACCAAAGCTGGTGTGGCAGACTGGGCTATTTTAAATTCTTAAACTGTTCATTGTTTTTAAGTTCACTGTAATTTTGTGTTGGATTAACATGAACACATGTTTGTGCACTCATAAATACTAATTATTCTATATTTACTTTTTGAGTTAGTTAAACCTAAAATTCCGATGTAATTATACATTTTATTATCTAATCAAGAAACTTCGCCTGACAAAGTGACAATGGCCACCTTGCCAAACACTGAAGGAATAACCCTGAGTGTGAACATGGTCAACCACCAGCTCAGACCAGCACTCAGCAGCAAAGAGAGCGACAACTCACCCTTTTTGCCAGCAGCACAGGTCAGGTAGCTGAGTAATGCTAGCCCTCCACTAGAAGACTTTAAAAAAGACTTTTTAAAGACTAAAGTCTGACACCCTTTCACATCTAGAGATAAAGTTACAGTTTTTAGTCAGACTATGACTTTGCAAAGACTGGGGATCTTGCAAGGTCACTATTTCGCCAGGCAGAAGCTAGATTTTTTTGGACAATGCTAAATTGCCCCTAGATGTGAATGTGTGTGTATGAATGTATGTGTCTGCCCTGCGATGGACTGGTGACCTGTCCAGGGTGTATCCTGCCTTCCAACCGATGACTGCTGGGAAAATCAAAAAATTAACAATGCTTCTTCAATAATGCTATTTGCATGCATTTTCTCCCTTGCACTCTTTCTCTCCCTCTGTCTGTCGCACCACGTGCATGCACTCACCTGCTTGCTCTCAGGGGTGTGCTTTGCACATCACTATTTGCATGAGCCAAGACTTAAAACTTACGATCATACTAAACATGGTTGATTTTGTCGCAGCAAGACCAGAAAAGGTCTGACTTGACCTTACACTAAATGATCGAGATGACTTGAGCATGACACAACCCCAGCAAGACTCTCAGGACTTCATCGCGACATTGGAAATTTGTCTGCAACAGTGAAATCACTTGAAAAGCCATTTTGTTAATGCCGGCCTTACAACAAATAACTTTTCAAGTGATTTCGCTGTTGCAGATAAATTTCCAATGTTGGAATAAAAGCATGAGTTTTGCTAGAGTTGTGCTCGTGTCATCTCGATCGTTTAGTGTGAGGTGGTCAGGATGGCCGTCTTAAGAAGCTAGTTTGGAGCTAGACTGAAGCATGCTGGTTTAGCCAGCAACATAACGAGTAGTCCAAATAAAAAATTAAATATAGGGTTTGCATTTTACAATCTTAATATGTTAATTGTGCTGATAAACTCTCAGCTAGCTACATTTTTGCCATAGCAATGTTATTTGTTAGCCTATAGCATGTGTGCTGCATACCTGAACATCTCAAGAAGTCAAAGTTACTCTGGTTCTCTGGGCTGTCTAGCGTCTCATACAGAGATAAACAGATCGGTTAAATCTATGGCTGAACCACAGCACACAGCAACAATTAATAAGCAGCGACTGGAGGGTTGAGAAAATAACACGGAGCTTGGCAGATTTTGATTGCCCATTATTCAGTGACAGCGCTCACAGAGAACAAATAAAATTTCATATAGAAAAATGAGGCATAATAACCTGTCCCTATTTGAATGGGTGGCCTGTGATACTGTGGCTGCGCCCCTGATTGGACTACTGTGTTATCATAATGGACTGTTTCTGTTTTAATCTCATGAATGGAGCAAAGTGAAAAAAAAAAAAATCATCTGAAACTACTAAGGTCCAGACCTTGGTGTCCTCATACCTAGTTGCGGCCATGTCTGTACCACTGCAGAGTAGAAGGAAAAGTATTTATCTGCTTGTAAATTGGGGGCGGCATGGTGGCGTCACAGTGGCGCTGTTGCCTCAAAGCAAGAAGGGCCCGGGTTCGATTCCCCGGCCGGGCGACCAGGGTCCTTTCTGTATGGAGTTGGCGTGTTCTCCCCGTGTCTGAGTGGGTTTCCTCCCACAGTCCAAAGACATGCAGTCAGGCCAATTAGACATGGTAAATTGCCCCTAGGTGTGAATGTGTATGTCTGTCTGTCTTCCCTGTGATGGACTGGCGACCTGTCCAGGGTGTATCCTGCCTTCCGCCCGATGCAGGAGGTGCTCTAGCACCCCCTGCGACCCAGAAGGAGAAGCGGCTTTGAAGATGTATGTGTGTGTGTGTGTGTGTGTATGTGTGCTTGTAAATTTCCACCAGGTGCATGATGGGGAATAATCTCAAAAATCTAGTTGCAGTCTTGCAAATAGTGACACTGCAAGATTCCTAGTCTTTGCAAAATCATAGTCTGTGACTAAAACTGACATTTTCCTTAGATGTGAGAGGGTGTCAGACTTTAGTCTTCCAAAAGTTTTTTCAAAGTCTTGTCAAAGTCTTCTAGTGCATGGTTAGCATAAGGCCTGCATAAAACACAAGTGAAAACACGTTGATGGTGAGTAAAACAAATGGAAAGAAAGACCAGGAGCCAATGGGAAATAAATAAGTTTTACCCATCAAGATCATGTAAACAAAACAAACATGTTACTGTATTTCATTTAAACAACACAGCTTACTGAGTTTCAATCAGTTACATGTGTTGAGTAACTTTAATGAGAGATAAACGATTAAAAACCAACAGCAGTGCAGTTTCATTTTTGAATGTGTGTGGTTTCAAAGTTGCCATGGCAACAGACTAAACTAAACTGCATTACGTTGATTCAACTGCCAATTTGAGTGTACGAAATCATCAAAAACATTCCCTTTATTTAAAATAGTTGTGTAATACATGGGATGTATTTAAAATTATGCTGTTTTCATTTACAACCCCAATTCCAAAATTTTTTTTTACATTTTACACAGCACCCCAACTATTTTGGAATTTGGGTTATATTTGAGTTAAACCAAAATGTGGGATTGAAAATTAAAGTTTTTAATCATTTTGTGCCCTTTTATCTTAATCCCTCTGAGACAGAAGCACTGCAGTTGGTAAAGGTGAGTGAAGTTGTCATTTAGTGAAAATGGCTAGAAAATATATTAAAACAGAACTAATTGTTTTATCCATCAGTTATTTTGTAAAGTTACCGTAAGGCTTGGTTAACTTTAATCCAAATATGGAAAATCACATAACATTAGCCTGCTGGTGTTAGCTAGCTAGCAGCCCAACCTTAGTTTTGGTTTGCTGGGAGACCAATATTTTAAGTGTCATTTGGCTGGTTAAAATTGTGCCTTTATGGGCAAAGACTGTATTATGTAAGAAGAAGAGTGTACGTACAGTGTAATTGGTGTTGGGCTACATTTTAAAGTTAAATGCTTTTAGTGTAGCTAGCTAGATAATGCTGGCTGACCTAAATATTAGCTGGTAGCTAACGCTACTCATACATCTTTTGCCCTACTGAACATTACCTCTAATGTTTATGCACAGTTTGCTTTTGTGTTTTGTTCTTTGGGAGCTTCATGAAGGGAGTTTGCTAAAAAGAAATACAAGTTTTCTTTTCTTTTATTATAAAGGTGGTTGATGAACTCTGATGTAATGCTAACAAGCTAGCTTGCTAGTTTGACTTGCTATGGCTCTGTCCCAAACTGCACAACCGTCTAAGCGTTGGCCCTGTCATCAGGAGATCATGAGTTCAATCCCTGGTGATGCTACAGCCGGGTGTCCAAGAGAGCACAATTGGCCTCCCTCTCCCTGGGTGGGTAAGATGCCCCCCATCACACAATGTGATGCTAGACAGCGCAGGTGTCTGTTAGCTGATGTAACAGATCTGGCGGCTCGCTCTCTGCCTTGTAATCTTTTTTTTAGCCTTCTTTTACTCTTTTTGTCTCTCTTTTTTCTTTTGTTTTCTTTTGTTCTTTGCTTCTATTTCACTCACAAACAAACTTTCACCTTTCTCATTTCCCTTCTTGTAATTTTCATTTTCTCTCCATCTCTTTCTTGTGTTATTTTCTATGTTCATTCTCTATATTCTATTTTCTTCTCTCTTTCTTTTTTTACCCTCTTTTCTTTTTAATGCCCTGTCAGGAGATGTATATTCAAGTGTTCCCCTGTTGGGTCTCTCCTGATCTTCCCTTATTTATTGTTTCAGTATAGCGCATCAAACTGGCAATGTAGCTGACACATGTTGACCATTTTTATTCTGTTAATGAATCTAGACTTAACTAGAAATGAAGAAATAAAGGAGTTCTCTATGACATTGAGTTGATAAGTAAACTTCAAGCCAATCAGGATACCAGACAATGAATATTTAGTCTGACTAGACGCCAGACAAACCTATCAAGTCCCTGATTCTACCTTGAAGGGGGTTGTCCTTAAAACCGATCAAACAAAGACGCCAAAGGCTGAGAGTCAGTTAAAGTTTGGAAGAAAAAGAAGAAGAGAATACTGACCGACCCAAGAAAGTGCCAGTCTATGCTAGAAAATCTGGGCCTTATTCACCAACTGTTCTTAAGAAGAAATGTCTTTTTAAAACCCACTTAGGCAGTTTTCACAAAGATTCTGACATTCACCAGTGTTTTTTTATTTGAGATTTATTCTTAGGCAAGAACAGAATCCACACACTCAAGAGCTCAAAGGGGGTTTAAACAAACATTATGAATCTGATGTAGACACCATCAAGAGCCACACAGCAATGTAGCGAGCGCACTAAAGAACTTTGCGTGACCGACCTGACGTCCTGTCATCATCACCTGTGTGGGCTGCATTATCTTATACCTGACAATGATTGGTTTGAAGAAGAGCGTGCGCCTGGTGTCATCCTGTTGTCAATTCTGGGTGGGAGTGTTCGCTGCATCACCTGCTGAACATCAAAGAACCGCCGCTGCACCATGCCCCTGGAGCTCCAGTCTATGCCCAGTCGCTGTACACGACCCTGCCGCCTCTTCCCCCTCTGGAGTCAACGCCATTTGAGAAAGTTAAATCTTGACAGTGACAGCGGGACTGAACCTGTTGGGGAAGGAGAGGATCATTTCTGCTTATGAGACGTGTGGTGGCGTTAATTAAGTGCCTGCTGCCGGCAGACGTTCTAAAACGCCTGGCGGTGCCTCGCGTTTAACTGATGGCGAAAAGAAAACCCATAACTGCCACTCTGGATGGCGTGTTTAAACATAGCGTGATGAATTCTGATTCTCTTGGCTTGCCATACTATAGGAGGGAGGCTACCCAGCTGGAGCAGGACACACCTCGACGCAGACGGGCTCCGGATGAGATCTTTGGCCCAGTATGGCTGTGGTTTCTTTGCTGCTCAGTTAGGCAAGGGTTAGATCCCCCCTTTCATACTCCCTGCTGCAGTATTCCGGGGTTAGTTTTCTTTGAGTCCCGTTTGCCTAACTCTTCTGTTCGGTTTTGTTTTGTTTCTTTCTTTCATTGGCCCAGTATTTTAAGCACCTTACTCATTTGTAAACACCATTAAGTGAATAAAAACGCTGTTTGATTGAAACCCTGCTTTGTGTGTTTGTGTGTGTGAATAATGACATAAGACCGGAATAAGTTCTCTGACAGCGAGTTCACCTTTTCTCACAGTAGACACTAAAGCACAGCACTGTGTAGGAAGTGGTAGCTGATACCTTTTGGCACCACGTAGATCCACCTTGATGGCTGGTCCCAGGTTGAGGAAGCTTTATGTGTAGGGGTGTGAGTGTGGTTTTTGTAAATCAGAAAACAAACATAAATATTGGGTACAAAATGTGCTGTTTACAAAAATTAATAATTTATAAAGAACTACATGTTAATAGAACAATCTGGATATTTTTTACTTTTACTAATTCTTTTAAAAAAAGTGCTAAGATACAGAATAAAGTGAAAGGTGAATTTAATGCCACAGTGCAGATTCCAACAGGGGGTGCTCTAAGCACACACAGTGATAACACACTTGGCAAACTGAGTCATTAACTGAGGACTAGCTTGTCTGTTAGCATAGTGCTAATATAGTAACACTCAGATGTGAACAGTGTCTCCCAGAAAAGGAACTTAAACTGTAGCAAAAACAAACAGCAGTAAAATAAACCAAATAACTGACACTGTAATCTGCACAACTGTTAGCAAAGTCAATCAGAGACAAAGTAGAATTGGCAACATCACACTAATTAACACTGACTTTAGCAGAGTCAGCACATTTCTCAGTGAACAACACAAGAAGGTCACATAAATGATTATTACAGTGTGACGTACAGTTTCATTAATGCACACAGAGCCCACTCCAATAACTGATTTTATTCATTTCTTTACTTACTTATTTTGTAAATTAAGACAAAAGAAATGAGCAGATCTTCTGACTCTGTATCTGATCATCAGTGGAGCCTCTCCTGGATCCTCTGAACATTCCGGCTCTGCTGCCTTATTATCCATAAACGTGCTGCTTGTTGTGTTAATTTGGCTCTGGTTCTGTTGTTGGTGGTTCTCCTGTAATTCTTAGCTGTGTTTCCAAGTGAGCCTCGTTTTCACCTGCATTTGTTTGTTGATGACTGGTTGATGGATTTGTTTGCGTTTTGCTTGTCGGTCTAGTTTCTGATCCCTGCCTCTCAAAATTCATCCAGTCAAACTACTTTATCAACATCTGACTGATTAGATTTATTTCTAAATAACAAACTAATGAATTTTATTAAGTAGTTATTTAGAAGGTAAAGATTTATTGAACATTAAATGATAGATAACGTCACTAACTTGGCTGTTTGCTGGTGTTTGTGTGTTTCATATGAAAAACACCTGAAAAGTCTCTTCACTTTTAACTACAATGTTCTTTTTGTTTCCCTCTCAGAACTTCAAGTCTACAGAGAAACAGTGAGTAAATGTCAGATCACACATTTTATCTAATGTTAAAGTCATTATTCCATTTAAATCTACAGTATATTGTATTTATTGTAAATATGAGTGTATTATAATGAAATGAAGGTGAATAAGGATTGTGTGTTAATGTTGTAGTGATGAGAACAGTAGCAGAAATATTTATTTAACAGAAACAACAGAATTATTGACTCCAGACAATAAATGTCATAAAATATTGATATTTAGTCAAATAAATTACAGGCTGTAAAGTTTCTACAGTGATATATTTCACACAATCTTCTATTTTCAGAGCTCAGCTCAAACCAAAGGATCCAGAGAAGACATCAGGAGCTCTGATCAATGTAGTGAAACACCTTTCCAACCTGAAGTTCAGAGTGTGGGAGAACATGCAGGAGATTCTCCAGTACAGTAAGTTCTGTTTCTCTTAGGGTTGATCTCTCACACACAGTCTGCTTCTGCACTAATGAGACACTGTTTATAAACTATTCGTAACATGTTATCATATTGTCTTTATTCAGGGTGTAAAAAGGACACTGAAACTGTACTTAAGTGAAAGTATGAATACTGTACTGTGCAGAAATCTCACTCAATCAAACTAAAATGTAAATGATTTAAAAGTATTTTTAAAATATCTTCTCATCTTTTCATCTTACATTTAAGTATACTTTCATATCAAGTAATTTCTAGATCTTGTTGTTGTATTACTAATCACATTAAAACAAAAATATTACTTATTAAATTGAAATTGAGGCAAATATCAATTTATGTCTTAATAATAAAACAAACACTTCAAATGGCAATTTTGTTCCTTAATTGAATAGGTCTTGTGATTACCTTAATTACATAGTTTTTAATTACAAATCCATAGCCTTTAACATTATATATAAGATTGTGTATTTTTAATGTTTATTATTTAATTGTTTAGTGTAAATGATTTTTGGTCATGACAGAGCAGATCAGGTGAAGATGTACAAACTCATCTTCAGCTCTAAATGTTTCCTAATTCTAGATAACGATCACTACAACTATAAAAACAAGAAAATAATATATTTGAATCAGTTTTCTAAAGTGGGCTTTTGTCCAGTGTCTACGGGGACTTTACTCCAAATATCTATGTTTACGTTTTCAGATCAGAATAAAAAAAATATAGATTTATTCCATGCAAAACAATGTACTGTTTTCTGCAAAGTTTTCCACTATAATCATGTATTTTGTTTTTATATATCATATTTCTGTATTTAAAAGAAAGTGTCTTTAAAAATATCCACCAGGAATCAGTATCAAGTCAGTGAGTGTGAAAATGTTAATGGATATTCAGCTCTGTGAGTGAATCACTACAGAAAAATGCTGCACTCAGATTAGATCTGTCACTGGACTACAGTATCTCGCAAAAGTGAGTACACCCCTCATATTTCTGCAAACATTTTATTATATCTTTTCATGGGACAACACTGTAGAAATGAAACTTGGATATAACTTAAAGTAGTCAGTGTACAGCTTATATAGCAGTATAGATTTACTGTCCTCTGAAAATAACTCAACACACAGCCATTAATGTAAATAGCTGGCAACACAAGTGAGTACACCTCACAGTGAACATGTCCAAATTGTGCCCGATTGTCTCGTTGTCCCTCCCTGGTGTCATGTGAGATGAGTCTCTGAGGATGTGAGAAATAGAATTGTTGCTCTCCACAAAGATGGCCTAGGCTATAAGAAGATTGCTAACAACCTAAAACTGAGCTATATCACGGTGACCAAGGTCATACAGTGGTTTTCCAGGACAGGTTCCACTCGGAACAGGACTTGCCAGAGTCGACCAAAGAAGTTGAGTCCACGTGTTCAGCATCATATCCAGAGGTTGGCTTCAAAAAATAGATGCATGAGTGCTGCCTGCTATGCTGCAGAGGTTGAAGAAGTGGGAGGTCAGCCTGTCAGTGCTCAGACCATACGCCGCAAAATGCATCAACTCGGTCTGCATGGCCGTCGTCCCAGAAGGAAGCCTCTTCTGAGGCTGACACACAAGAAAGCCCTCAAACAGTTTGCTGAAGACAAGCAGTCCAAGAATATAGATTACTGGAACCATGTCCTGTGGTCTGACGAAACCAAGATAAACTTGTTTGGCTCAGATGGTGTCCAGCATGTGTAGTGGCACCCTGGTGAAGAATACCTACAAGTCTCTTGCCTACAGTCAAGCATGGTGGTGGTAGCATCATGGTCTTTGGCTGCATGAGTGCAGCATGAATCCAACATGTACTGTGACATTCTGAAGCAGAGCATGATCCCCTTCCTTTGGAAAATGCGCCGCATGGCAGTTTTCCAACACGATAACGACCCCAAACACACCTCCAAGATGACAGCTGCCTTGCTCAGGAAGCTGAAGGTAAAGGTGATGGACTGGCCAAGTATGTCTCCAGACCTAAACCCAATTGAGCGCCTGGGGGGCATGCTCAAGCGGAAGGAGGAGGAGCGCAAGGTGTCTCACATCCACCAGCTCCGTGATGTCATTATGGAGGAGTGGAAGAGGATCCCAGTAGCAACCTGTGCAGCTCTGGTGAATTCCATGCCCAAGAGAGTTAAGGTAGTTCTAGAAAATAGTGGTGGTCACACAAAATATTGACACTTTGAGCACAATTTGGACATGTTCACTGTGAGGTGCACTCACTTGTGTTGCCAGCTATTTAGACATTAATGGCTGTGTGTTGAGTTATTTACAGAGGACAGTAAATCTATACTGCTATACAAGCTGTACACTGATTACTTTAAGTAATATCCAAGTTTCATTTCTACAGTGTTGTCCCATGAAAAGATATAATAAAATATTTGCAGCAATGTGAGGGGTGTACTCACTTTTGTGAGATACTGTATAATGACCATTCACGACTGAAAATACACTTTAGTGCTGCACTGAACTGAACACCAACATTTAGTCCAGCATTAAAGTTAATCTGTATTCTGGAATCGACCTCTAAAGCTGTTTTACTCACAGTAAAGAAAATAGTCTGTAGAGGTAAAACATTTACAGAAATGAGAGAAAAACATGATGTTTCATTGTGTTCTCTCTCCTCAGCCCCTGTTACTCTGGACCCCAACACTGTACATCCAGACCTCCACCTGTCTGATGATCTCACTGCTGTAGAAAACAGGAACCAGAGATCATCACTTCCTGATAATCCAGAGAGATTTGATAAATGGGAGTGTGTTCTGGGTTCTGAGGGTTTTAAATCAGGGACACACTGCTGGGACGTCCAGGTTAGAGACAGTGATGACTGGGCACTGGGTGTGATACCAGAGTGTGTAACAAGAAAAGGAGAATCTTTCTGGGGTTCAGTGTGGAGTCTTTATTATTTTTTGGGTGAATACTGGATACGTTGCCCAGGACAACCAGGTTATTCCCTCCCGCTTAAAAAGAAGCTGCAGAGGGTCAGAGTGCAGCTGGACTGGGACAGGGGGAAAGTGACCTTCACTGATCTTCTAACCAACAAACACCTGCACACTATAACACACACTTTCACTGAGAGAGTTTTACCACTTTTCTGGAACTGGTCTGATCATCCTCTGAGGATCTTACCAGTGATGATGTCAGTAACAGTGGAACAGCACAGTTAAAGTTGATGCTGCTTAGAATGAACATTTATACAGGTAGTGAGTGTCTGAATTATGATCATAAGAATATGTCACTATATTTATATTTTAAATAATGTGTTTGTATCATTCCATCCTAACATGTCTGTGTGGAAGTAAAATGCTGGTTTAAAGTGTCATAGAGTGACTCCTGATATCATTACAACATTAGAAATGTTATTTGAGTGAGATTTCACTCATTTTCAGTGTAGATTTTATTTCTCTATCATCCTGCATTTTTCTCCATCATTAGATCTTTAAAACTCTGCTTTGGTTCAGAGATTAATAGTTTACTGTGTGAAATAAACTGCATTATATTATAAACTGAATGCATGTTGCATATTGAATATTATCCCACAGCATCATGTAAAGATCATCCAGCAGATCAAATGGAGGAGATCTGTCTAAAGGAGTGACCAACACACTCAGAGAGACAGACTGACCCAACACACAGTGTAATAACACAAATATTACACAAACTCATAATGTAATAAACTGCTGATAACGTAATAAAATCCTCACCCAATAGTATAATAACACTTTAACACATAATGTAGTATATATATAATATAATAATCTGTAAGCTCAATAATTACTTGTAATAGTTACTATCGAAACAGTAATGTTTTATATATGAAATTGCATGTTCTTTAACTTAAGTGGTAACCAAGCAGGGATGTTTGAAGTTTTGTAAAACTGTCTCAATGGTGATTACACGTTAAATAGACTCATCTGGCTGTGCTTGTTTTCAAGTTTCGTCAGTCAACAATAGGTCACTCTGAGAACATAGCTTAAAGACCTGAACCAAGTGAGCCAGTGTTGACTGCAAGCCATCCACCACAGATGACTGCCTCCATGGCCCTGTGAAACTGCATTCTGATGTCACCAGCCACTGCTGAGAGCAGACCCTGGAGAGACCACGGGACAACAAAAAATCATCTGGGATGCTTTCTTTGCAACCCGCACAGCTGTGCGACTCTCCTCAAGTCCCAAGGCTGCAAGACACTTTCACTTCTTCATTAGGCTCAGCTGCTGTGTCACTTTTTTCCTATTTTTTAATCTAAATTTAGGTTATTCATTACATTATTGTTGGTATTATTCTGCTTGCTGCTCAAAAGCCATATGATAATTTTGAATCTCAGCTAATTACAGTATGTTTGTTTGGTGAATTCACAACCTCCGGTTTCTCTTCATGACTGTCTAATATTTAGTGCCTATGTACTTCTTGTAATCTATCATTAAGAACTCCTACCCTTCTATCAATAAATTACCCTTTATTAAAGTCGTCACTGGTGGTCCTGTGCATGTAATTACCACAATTTGATAAAATCTGATCCCTGACCGTGGACAAACCCTAACCTGAGATTAATGAAAAATATCTGCGTTTTTATGGTAAGTGGGAAAACATGACACACCTCTGCTGCAGTCCAACTGTTGCTGCACAGTTTATTAGCTCCCCTCTACCCTGTCCCTCCATGGAAAGGGACCACCATAAGACCACCGCTGGTCTGATGTCTTAGTTTGATTAATCAGGACAGACTAAATATTTCTTCTCTGCTGCTTCATTAGTACACCAACAGCTGAACAGAGGACTTTTATTGGTGATTCTACATAAGCAGTCCATCACTGTCTGCTTGGATGGAGCTGGAATTATTAAGACTCTTTAGAAATATGAGGGAGTGAGAGCTTTACAGTGTCTTTTAGGACTGACAGACTGCCTGCATTACATAGACTCCACTCACTGGATCTTCATCAGTTTAATCTTGTTTTGAACAGGCCTCCACTTTTTACACTGTCTTGCTCGAGGATCACTGTTTGTATGTTCACCAGAATTTGAAAACTGACAGTGTAGGTGATGATTCAGTGGAAGAAGGTTACTTCCATGATTATGCTAGCCAACCTGAGGGCTCAAACCTGAGTCATCTGAAACTTTCCTAACTGCTTTCTCAAATTTCTGAAGTGATTTAAGAGTTGAAAGAGTTTCCAGACTGAATGCATTTTTCTGAGGGAACTTCAATATGGTTCTAGATGATTGGCCTGAAAGATCCCTGACAAAATACTGTAACCATCATTATAAGTCTAATTTGACTTTTATAAAACAGGACAAATATTTGATCTTCGGCACAATTCAAATTCAGCTATTAAACAATTTCCTTTTTTTTTTCTTGCATTGATTTTTGGTTAGCATCTTATTTCCTTTTAGAGTTAATTTCAGATTGCAGTTCAGACACAGCCCCTCTTACAGAGTAGTGTGTGATTTTGTTCTTATTTATGAATCATGCATAGAAAGAACTGAATCCATAATTTCACAGGTTTTTAATAATAAGCAGTTTCTACATACAAACTAAAGGGGAATATCTTACATTTAAATTCAGGACTTTTTATTAATTTTAACAAACAATTGCCAAAAAATAATATGGATAATTTAGAAGATCAACCTTATGAAGGGATTTTTTTCCTTGTATGATAAATCAGCACACAATAAATGATTAATTATATAAAATGTCCTGAACTTATTAGTAATGAAACTGAAATTTTACAAGAATCTTTATTCAGCCACATTTTCCAGCATTCCAGCTGATAGATGATGATTTTAGACACACCTGTAAAGCAGATCTTACTCTTGATGAAGCTGTCAACATTCTTTCCGTTGATAAATCTCCTGCGCCTGATGGATTAAATACTTGGATCCACCAATGTTTACAGACATTAGAGCTCTATACGAGATTTCCTGTTTCAGGTTTTTCAGGAAGTGAGCGAGTGTCATGTTCTTTAGCTACTATGAGAGAGAGAGAGAGTAATAACTAAGCCAGATTTTTTAAGAAAACCTTCAGTTTGTAACTTTAATAAATGCAGACTATAAAATATTGACTCATATCTGTGATTCCCACCTAAAAAAGAGTCTGTCACAAATAATTAGAGACACAATCTTGTTTTATGATAAACATATCAATACAGAACAACATTCATCTAGTACAAGATCTCCTTGATTACAGAGACAAGATTGTAGATGATGGTGTTATTATGTTCCTTCATTTTCATAAAGCATTTGACACAGTAGAGCTTCAGTTTACGTTTACAGCACTTAGACATTCTGGTTTTAGTGAGAAATTTAGCAACATCATTTAAACTTTTTATCATAATATAAATAGTTGTATTTCTTTACCACATGGACCCTCACAACACTTTGAAATCAGAAGGTTTAAAACAAGGTTGCCCAATTTTACCATCACTGTTTCTATTTTAAATAAAAATTCTGATATAAGCTGAAGATTTTAGAGGAAGACATCATTATTAGACAATTAGCAGGTAATACAACAACTTTTTAAAAGGATATTACAGAAGTGGGCACAGTCATAGATAAAATTAATGTCCTCTTGAGCTTCTGGTTTGTGAGCTAATGATGTTACATGAATGTTCACTTAAAGAAGTTTAGGATATTAACATTAAATCCATAGTTAAGTATTTGGGTCTCAGTATAACAAAGGATAGTAGATTAAGTAAAACAAACAATTGTTTGGAATAAATTAGAAGAATGTAGATCTAGGCTTGATTTTTGCTTACAAAGATGTTTGGTTACAATATTTGAATTTATATTAGAACTCATCTAAAAAATACTGCTAGCGTTTCCCTGCAGCTGCCATTAGTCAGTTAAATTTAAATTTTGTTTGGAATAAAGTTTCATTATATTAGTAAAGCTAAGTTATCCAAAGATTATGAATATGGGGGTTGTAAGCCATTGATTTTCAAACTGTGGACACTTATAATGAAATGTTAAAATCATTTATGTCCAAGGAATCAAGCATTTGGTTCTCAGTGATGAGGAACCTTTTTAAAATGTGGCGTTGATGTGATTTTGCATTCTGATTATTTTGTCCCCAAACAGTCTTCCTTTCATCAGCAGGTGTGTTTATTTTGGAAACTACACTGTACTGCCATAATTTTACATGTCATACAGCTCCGGTTTATAATAATAGATACATCCTGTCAGTTACACACTTTTTAGCTAGGGATGGTGATGTTCATGCTGTTGAAAACCTCCAGATAAAACCTTTCTTATGACCATAATCAGTTTAAAAGTGTAATAAAAGCTACTCTGAAAGCAGTTCTAATAACGCTAAAACCATATGATAAAGTCAGCTGTACTCTTTACTTTACACTCACCATCACTTCAGTAAAAGGAAATGACATATTGAATGACGACATTTCAAATAAGTCATTTAGATTCATGGGTAATGATGTTTTATATCCTATATAATGTATCAGAAATTGTATTTTATGATTATTAGGTGAAAATGAAATGTGGTAGACAGACTACATCAGTACTGATTCTCCCCAAAATGAAAGAAATTCTTTTTAATGTGTCAAACAATGTTTACCTTTTAAATGATTTTTAATAAAGAGACCAGACTGTCATAACTCGCAAAAAGAGGTTTCTTACACCGCCAACCACAGCCACTACAAATATAAAAATAGAAGTTCGACTGGGAGGAAAGTTTTGGTCCAGTTACTGGACAGGAGGCAGAGACTGATTCAAAGAGATTTATTACCCTTTAATACATTAAAACATTAAAAAAGAAATAAAGAAGCTTTAAAAGCAACAAGCAATAAAAGAAACATAAAATATAGCCTTAAAGTCCCAGGGGCAGTCTGAACGATGCAGGGAGTTACAAGCAGTCCTTCACGGTTCACAGCATGGGTTCAAACACCTGCCCAAAACAAGGAAACTAACTGGCAGTAACAAGTTTTTTAAATCAAGACTCAGCATCTAACTTCACAAAGCCTTAGTAGGAAGTAGAGTTCTCAACGCTAAAACAGTTTACATCACAACAGCAGCAGCTTAATAAATAAGAAATTGGCTCATCGTTTTTTCTCACTGTCACTACATACCACTACGTTCAAAGACTGTAGAAAAGGCTGCAGATACTCACGCCTGTCCAGGTATGGGAGGCAAATCCAGCCAAAAAAGAAATAAAAATTAAAAC